GGCGTCCCCATCTTAATGATTGATAATTGATAATTGATAATTGATAATCAAGGAAGGAGGGCGGTAACCCAAGGAAGAGTCGGCGTCGTAGGTCATGTCTGAAAGGCTGTTGAACCTTCATTGTCGTTGGCCCACTCACTTGGGCTTTCACTAGAAATTAGATCTCCCGCTTTGTTTGCTGATCAATTGTTGATGCATGACAAAATATATTGAGGAAGGATAATTAGGTTTGTCCGCGATAACGTTGGTATGACGTTGCGCGATCTTCATCTTCGTCTATGCGTGATGGGTTTCAGGAAGATGTTTGTCTGTAGATTGCCTAACTTAATCTAACCGTAATCGAACCGCTTAGCCTTGGTGGTGTTGGATCCTTATTAGGATCAACTAGCTGACACAATAGTTTGATTTACATGCTAATTATAATTATTCAATAGGTTTTTTCAATTTCCAAAAAGTATGTCATAAAGTTCTTCACTTTATTATGTCCAAATTCAAAGTTTTCGCATACTCAAAAACACAGACTCAAAATGTTCAAAAGTATGCCTTGTTACAGTATTTGAAGAGCGCGAAACAGAAATACTCTATATCGTTCAACAACAAGAGTCAGTAATTTGTATTATTTTAATTATAAGAGACAACTCCATTGTCATGAGCACAGGGTTGATTTTCAATTCCTGCACACCATCTTTACAAATTTCTTCACTTCTAATTATTTTTTTTTTCTTCCAAGTTGAGTAGTTATTCTTTTCTTCAACCAATATTTTTATTTCAGGCTAATTTAGCATAAACATTGTGCAACGCATTAATTATTTGCTAGCTCTTTATACACTATAACAACTGATATAATTGGTAATAAAAATATCTTTTTATAGATTTACAGTCATTACGGAACGACTGAAGATATTTCGTCCAGTTAATGCAAAAGGCGGTTTGTTGTTTACTAATTGTTTCTTAGCATTTAGCTCAGTTTTAAACTATTTAAACCATAAAACATTATTTAACCATAAACAATAACTTGCCCTTTTGCAGTTTAACCAAAGATTTAAACGCAAATCGGTAAATCTGCTCTAAAATAAAATGCACCACTAACTTATTGTCAATCTCAGTGCACGTGCACACATGTCACTATCCTTAAACACACACAAAACAGGGTTCAATATTACAACAGGATGAGAAGTATACTTGCAACATTCAAAGTCAAAGGTTAACTAAGGGATTATGATATCTAACGATGAAAATACATGAAAGAGTTGCACCATCGACTTTGGATACTGCTCGTAGACTTCTGATTAAGTTTATTGGAGAGTGGTTATAGCAAAACATGTAAAAACTAGAAAACAGCTGAGACAAGAATGTGAACAGCTGATCACTGGTGAAAGTATCAGACCTTGTACGGACTGTGACTGGACAGGTTATGTGTACTTAGAATGAAATCTAGGCCATGAGTGGACAGTGAACCCCGTGTGTCGTGTGTGTTGTCGCCAGAGGCCATGAGCCCTTAGTATACAGGTTTGCTGCAACGGGGGTTATTTTGTACATTAACATTGTGTTACCATATGAAATTACTCGGTATAAATGTTTCTTAAGAGTATTTTTCACTTTGAAAACATTAGTTGTTTAACAGTGACAGTTGCCATTTAGAATTGGAAAGTGTTTATAGCAGAATTAGTAGGCAAACGTAAAACATTCTGGTTTATTAAACTCCCGTCGCTACGTCTCTATAACTATAATTGTGTTAAAGGTTGATTTAAGTAGTATTGCAGCTATGTTTGATTGTAGCATCGTGTCTACTTATCAAAACAGAACACGACATGAAATTCCTTACGGAATTAGAATAATAGATTGTATCATAGATAAAACCATAAAACATAGTACCTTAGTAGATTTTCCATCCTTATGGAACAGCTGAAGCCAATTTTATTGTTTTGTTAGTTACGTAAGGTTTCTGTAGATGTCGTGTTTTGTTTACAATTAGTTTCTATTATTTTAGGATTAGCCCTCTATATCTTTATATAGCTGTATAACGTTTTAAAAACTTAATTTCCAATACATTTGGGTACTGAGGTAATGTACGGAAGCCACCCTATACAGCGCGCTGCGGCGTTGGCGGTTATGTCAAGGTTGGGCTATCATAAATAGAAAGTATGAATCATCTGGTATCGTTCGATTCATAACGAAACTATGAAAGTCCTACAAACATAATATTTATGATAACCCAACCTAAAATAACCACCACAGCGCGCTGTCAAATATGTGGCCTCCGTATGATACCAAAGTACCCGAATTTGTTTCCAATAAGTGTGTGCTTTTTGTGCTCTATATCAGAGCTTGCAATGAATGGGGATAAATTAATGTTTAACTATTATTTAGAAGTTACAATTACGTGTAAAAAAGATTAATTTACGGATTTTCAAAATGATTTTGTAAATACAGAAACAATTACGAAATTTCTGTTCATCCAGGGCATAGAACTTTGTGAATATTTTACAGTTTATTTCAACTCTATAAACACTTTAATAATGATGATAATAATAATAATAATGACACGAGGTTCTTTTTTGTAGGGTCGTGTTTACGTGGTAAACAGCCGGCGGGTGGAACCATGGAACCCTCTTAACACTAAAACCCTCCTCGACATGGAAGGCGATGTCACTACTTATAATTATAACCAACAATCTTCCACCTTTGTTTGTGTTTGTGTTGTTCGCATTGATATTCATGGAAGGTTTCACCTTGTGTTTTATTGCACACATCGACACATCTCAAACACAAAGCGCTCAGAAGGCGCGTAGGCCTACCAAGACATGGATAAACCTATGGGTAAACCTGTCAAGCATATTGTAATTGTTTTAAATAGTTTATTTAGCAGTATAAAGGCAATTCTGATCAGTTTAATCTTGTCTTCTGGATATGCCCACGTTGATTGGTGGAAATATCATCAGGCCAAGCTATGAATCACAATTTTTGCTTGCCCTGATGATAGATTGATGCAATGCATCCGAAACGACAGTCAGTGGTTTCGCAAGATCAATAAAGTCGCTTCTCGAAGTTCAGGTTTCCACCGATATTGTCTTTGAAAACATTCTGGTTTAAATAGTTATTTATTTGTGTTACCTTACAATACGATTTATATGCTTTTTTGACGTGTAAGTTTTATGTTTCAATCAAATTTTGAAGCAATTATATCAATATTCTGGACTCATTTTATCAAATTTACCCATTCAAGTGAAGACAATATCGTCCGGTAAGACACCGGCCGATTAAGGTTCCAATTCAATAGTACACATAGATCTGCACATAGATAGCCTACAATACTACCTATCCTGTGAAAGTAAAATAATAGTTGTGTAAGACCATTTCTTATTTTTTACTGCCACGGCCCTACATATTGAGATACATACAAGTAAAAACACATTAGACAAAGCTTGGTAGTAAACTATGGCTTCCCTTATAATTTAATAAATACAGAATACATGAATGGAGAGAAGAGTGTTCTCATCAGGTGACTAGCATCAATAAAATGCAAATTGGGAGAAAGTGGCTTGCGAACTCAGCAGAATCGCGTTTTACAGGTTGCAGGTTATGAAACTACAACAGTTTATGTCTACGTCATCTTCAGTGGTTCTGTCACAGGCTGAAACATCAGTTCCACCATAGATTAAATTCATAGAGTAGGTCTAGTACATGGTGGAAAAAGTGTTGTATTAGATTCACGTGGGGTATATATGTCTACTCTTTTAATCTATGGTTCAACCTTACTCTATACACTGCAATTTGATGCCAGTATATGTAAGAGCTCAACTATTTCCATACAGTGAGCTGAGCGAGCTACATTACAATTTCAAAATTTATGGCTTATATTTGGACATTATTTATTTTCCTGATTAGAAACCGTGTCAAATACTGTTCACAACAATACAAAACCATCCCGTCTAGCTTTTTTGAACACCCCTGTGAAACAGTTAACAGTGCTAATTGAAACTAACTATATTTAGGCCTATGATACAGGTTATTTGGGGAAATTCGCAAAAATAAGTATTCAATTAATTGATTGTAGGCCTGTGTCTTTTAGTGGAGATAGATTTCCGATGTAGAGACAGAGTTCTGTAAGAGACAAATTTTTTTTGCTAAATAGATTTACTTGTCTATGCAAGCGACATGGGCTAGTGGTTGGGCTACTATGGTCTGAATGATGGAACATGTCTCCTGAAACTCGGTCTACATACTGGCCAATGGTTTAAGGACACCATTGTAAAATAATACTTTAAAAATAGTAACCATAATGTCTTAAACGACACGATTGCGTTGTTTTTAGATCTATAAAGCTTGAGGATATTAACAGTGTAAGTGGTGATGAGATTGACAAGTATACTACAGTATGACCCAGACATTGACTCTAGAGTAGATCGAAAGACCAGTTTCATCAGCCGCGACTGTACTCTTCAGTGACGTCACAGCTGGGAAGGTCGTGATTAAACATCGCATACCTTCACTTTCACTTGATCAACATTCGGACACTTGAAACACGATTACTGGCGGCGCGGCGCCTGAGGCCAACAAAAGTGGTGTGTTTATATGAAAACTATTAGATAGGATTTAAGGCGGTGGGTGAATAAACGACTTCAAACCTTGCTTGATTTACAACGACGTTGGCCAAAGTGTGTATTTAAAGTGAGTATGAATGAAGGATGAACTAAATACTCGTATGAAAACTTGAGTTAGGCACTGGCTAAAATCAGATGAATCTTCACATAGAGAAATGTAGCAAATCCAGTTGGGAACCTACATTACATATAAATATACCCTATATGCTTCACAAATAAATTGCAATTAAGGTCAATGCTATCAATAAATAATCAAGGAAGTTGACAAGACATCCGATTCCGAATGTATGGAAATGAAAAACAGATTTTTCCCCTTTCCCATTTTGCTCCCCTGTTAAAATATCGAAATAATTAAAGAAAACTCTAAAAATTTGAAAAAAATCAGATGAAACCTACCTGTAAAATAGTCGTTTATCGATGGAATCATATCAATGTGGCATTCTGGTCTGACTAGTGACATGTTGTAAGGTCTGAGAGGGTCTACGTCGGAGTCTAGAGCGGACGAAGTCTGGTCTAGAGGATCTACTACCTCCAGTACCTCAGCATCTGACACGTTGTAAACCACGACGTTCATCTGAAACAAGAACTAGCAGTAGAGACGAGGCAATTTGTTGAGGTGTAAAAGGGTCTAGATAAGATAAAGTCTGGTCTAGAGGATCTACTACCTCCAGTACCTCAGCATCTGACACGTTGTAAACCACGACGTTAATCTGAAACAAGAACTAGCAGTAGAGACGAGGCAATTTGTTGAGGTGTAAAAGGGTCTAGATAAGATAAAGTCTGGTCTAGAGGGTCTACCACCTCCAGTACCTCAGCATCTGACACGTTGTAAACCACGACGTTCATCTGAAACAAGAACTAGCAGTAGACAAGAGGCAATTTGTTGAGGTGTAAGAGGGTCTAGAGAAGATGAAGTCTGGTCTAGTGGATCTACCACCTCCAGTACCTCAGCATCTGACACGTTGTAAACCACGACGTTCATCTGAAACAAGAACTAGCAGTAGAGACGAGGCAATTTGTTGAGGTGTAAGAGGGTCTAGAGAAGATGAAGTCTGGTCTAGTGGATCTACCACCTCCAGTACCTCAGCATCTGACACGTTGTAAACCACGACGTTCATCTGAAACAAGAACTAGCAGTAGAGACGAGGCAATGTCTTGAGGTGTAAGAGGGTCTAGAGAAGATGAAGTCTGGTCTAGAGGATCTACTACCTCCAGTACCTCAGCCTCTGACACGTTGTGAGCCACGACATTCATCTGAAACAAGAACTAGCAGTAGAGACGAGGCAATTTGTTGAGGTGTAAGAGGGTCTAGAGAAGATGAAGTCTGGTCTAGAGGATCTACCACCTCCAGTACCTCAGCATCTGACACGTTGTAAACCACGACGTTCATCTGAAACAAGAACTAGTAGTAGAGACGAGGCAATATGTTGAGGTGTAAGAGGGTCTAGAGAAGATTAAGTCTGGTCTAGAGGATCTACCACCTCCAGTACCTCAGCATCTGACACGTTGTAAACCACGACGTTCATCTGAAACAAGAACTAGTAGTAGAGACGAGGCAATATGTTGAGGTGTAAGAGGGTCTAGAGAAGATGAAGTCTGGTCTAGAGGATATACCACCTCCAGTACCTCAGCATCTGACACGTTGTAAACCACGACGTTCATCTGAAACAAGAACTAGCAGTAGAGACGAGGCAATATGTTGAGGTGTAAGAGGGTCTAGAGAAGATGAAGTCTGGTCTAGAGGATATACCACCTCCAGTACCTCAGCATCTGACACGTTGTAAACCACGACGTTCATCTGAAACAAGAACTAGTAGTAGAGACGAGGCAATATGTTGAGGTGTAAGAGGGTCTAGAGAAGATGAAGTCTGGTCTAGAGGATCTACCACCTCCAGTACCTCAGCATCTGACACGTTGTAAACCACGACGTTCATCTGAAACAAGAACTAGCAGTAGACAAGAGGCAATTTGTTGAGGTGTAAGAGGGTATAGAGAAGATGAAGTCTGGTCTAGAGGATCTACCACCTCCAGTACCTCAGCATCTGACACGTTGTAAACCACGACGTTCATCTGAAACAAGAACTAGTAGTAGAGACGAGGCAATATGTTGAGGTGTAAGAGGGTCTAGAGAAGATGAAGTCTGGTCTAGAGGATCTACCACCTCCAGTACCTCAGCATCTGACACGTTGTAAACCACGACGTTCATCTGAAACAAGAACTAGCAGTAGACAAGAGGCAATTTGTTGAGGTGTAAGAGGGTCTAGAGAAGATGAAGTCTGGTCTAGAGGATATACCACCTCCAGTACCTCAGCATCTGACACGTTGTAAACCACGACGTTCATCTGAAACAAGGACTAGCAGTAGAGACGAGGAAATGTCCTGAGGTTTGAGAATACAGACCAAAGACCCTAGAAAGAATCATTATTCGAATTCCTCGTGAAACTTTGTTAATACTTTCACCAGGGAACTGTTATATCGATTGAATCGATGACATTCAAAGATATCTTGATGTAAATCGGATTTATTAAGCCTACTAGTTTAAAAATAACTTTCCAAACTATGAAATGACTCAGTCGACTGGAATACTACTGAACTGAGATGACTAACATGTGTCCATCGTATTTATATCGCCACCGAATTATTCTCCAGTCTGTGATGATGCTTTGTGCATTCGCTACGCTTACTATTTGTGGAATCATCAACTTATTTCCCAATAAATAACTATATAAACAAAGATATTTTTAGTATGTTTTTGAGTCGAGTACCTATGTATGCCTATTAGCGAATTTCCCTATAGGGAAGTAGCTAATAAAACAGCAAATTATATCTAAGTTTATCCGCTTGTGCTTTAGCATTCAGTAAACATGTGCATGTTGATTATTCTATCGGTAACTGTCATATATATTTTAATTAAATTTTATGAAAACCCTTTAGTTTTTCAGACTCAGTTTTAAGCGTCGTTCACGAAGATTAGTCGCTCTCCTTATGCTTCCCCCGGCACCTAAAGTCCCATCTTTCCTCTTTGATCGCATCCATCCTTGAGCTCATAATTCCGGGCGCCATCTATTTGCGACTGGAGGGATCTACACCCGAGCCACGACAGAAGATAGTATCTACGTGCTCTAACCTCTAGGCTAGCTTCGCTGTAGCAAACTAGGTTACTATAAAACTAGGACAACGAACTACAAACTAGGACATTATGCAATAGGTTATGTTGAACTTCAGAGTTAACAACTTATTATCCGATCTACACATTCCTTGTCCCATTCTAGCTACGCTCCCAAAGTGGTGTGCATAAATGTACACTACTAACAATGTAACAATGTTAATATTGTTATATAAATCACATTGCTCAACTCACACCCGTGGTGTGTCACATTTATAGCACGAGCCCATGTAATCACTAGGCGTAACGACGACGATATCACTGATCACATTATCATCTTGGTGGCTGAAAGCAATAAAATATTCATCGTCGGTGGCAGTATAGATTGTGATTGTACTGTGTTTACGTAGTTCACAGTTCAATTTACATTGAAAACGTAAAACATTCAAGTTTGATCGATTAAAAAAGTGTAATTCAAGTATCCAATCAATCAATAGTTTGACACAACGATAGCAGTGTATAACGCTAAAAAATCTTAAAACCAAATAAGGTTTAACACCAGCTAAACATAGACTAAACTGAAAGAAAAATGTTATATTAAAACTTATTCCTTTTATGTTAACATTAAAAGTAAAGTATACAAGATGTTTTGATTGATAAAAAAAACAACAAAAATTAGTGTACAAAACCATGCTACCACCTCCAATGAATTTTCTCCCCAACCATGGGATTAGATTCTATTTCAGGTATCCTCTAAAGACTATGTCGGCTTTATGCTAATGCCTACATGTGCAGAATTGGATACGCCACATTACCAAGATTTATTTATCATCATATCATGAATAAAATAATCACAATCTATCTATACTATTATAAAAAAGAGGTGGTTGCTGTATGTGTGTATGGGAAAAGTAAACTCGAAAAATACTGGTCGGATTGGGCTGAAATTTGGCATGACGATAGCTCACATTCCCGATTAACATATAGGCATATTCTTATTTCAAAAATCCTTTCGGGCTCCGCCCCAGTGGCTCTGGAGTTTCCCATGTTAACCTTATGAGAAATGGAATTATGAATCTTAACAGCTGTTTCAATTAAACAAGTTGGTTCTGTTCTATGATGTTCAATAGCATTAAAGTTACAAGGATTACCAACAGGGTGCAGCACTATTATTTCTTTTACATTTATGACAACAGCTAATTTGCAACCAAAAGGTGAGTGAGCGTAGCGAACGAACTTCAACATGGAGGCGAGTTAGCGTAGCGAACGAGCTAACCTGAAGGCAAGTGAGCGCAGCGAACGAGCTCCAACCTAAAGGTGAGTGAGCGTAGCGAACGAGCTCCAACCTAAAGGTGAGTGAGCGTAGCGAACGAGCTCCAACCTAAAGGTGAGTGAGCGTAGCGAACAAACTTCAACCAGGACGTGATTGAGCCATGCGAACGAGATAATCTTGAAAATTAAGAGGTTAAACGGAGCAAAGCCCGCGGGTTACAGCTAGTAATTAATAAGGAGGTTAAAAAAAGAAAAAAATATTTCAAATTTTTGAAGGAGCAATCCTTCGCGAACTTCGGCTTGGATTTATCTGATAGAAGGTTGTCAGTTTGTGCAGCTCTCATCCCTACTATGAGACAAGGGTTCGAGGGGATTTTCTAAGTATTTTAAGGACGCGGCAGTGACCGGGTCGTGGATTGTGTAAGATAGAAAGCGATGGTGGCGCGGTTACGCGTACATACGTAACTCGACGATCCTTCCTTCATCCTTCGTCCTGGAACTGTTCGTTCTGCGTTTGGTTGGCTGTACAAAGATGTACAAAGATTGGTGAAGGCATATTCATCCCATCTACATTTATTTTGGAGCATAAATTCAAAGTACATATAAACGTACGTGAAGGTTCCAAGTGTCAGGTTAACCAATAATTTAGAATGTACCGGGAATTGCACTAGAATGGTTTGAATCTTACCTTAATAACAGGCAACAGTCAGTCCAAATTACATTTATTGATAATAGCAATTATGTAAAATATTATAGTTCAGACAAACTCGAAACAAAATCAGGTGTCCCACAAGGTTCTGTACTAGGTCCAACTTTATTTATCATATACATAAATGATGTGACATATTCAGGAAAATTTTCTGAAGTGATATTATTTGCTGACGACACGACCTTATTGACATCCAGCCAATATAGAGAAGAATTGGAAATTAAATGTTTTGAAGAAGCAAATGAAGTACTGTAGCACAATGCTTAATGGAAAGTCATTTAGAAATTAATGTAAATAAAACAAAATTTATAGAATTTTCAATCAAAGATAAAATCACAAAAGATTTTAACTTAAATATTTTAATTGATGATTAACATATAGAAGAAGTAGAAACAATCGTACTGTATTCATAGGACTTCAACTCACACACTACTAGAAATTTCAACTCACATATTGAGCACTTATGTAAAAAAATTCCAAATTGTTT